CAGACTAAAGTCCTGCTGGATGTTTCGCAGATACAAATGTGGCAAAACTCCAAAAAGGAACCTTAACTGCATCATGCACCCCTATAGATGTAAACAAAAACAAAATTCCAAAATGGGAACTGGCTTTTGAGGATTTGGATTTGTTATGAAAGACGAAGCCGTGACTTTGAGGCTGAAGCCACAACAGTGGCCTGCGTTTGCACAAAGTCACCGCCGTTACGTTGAAATGAGCATCTCTCACTGTTTTGACTGGAGTCGTGTTCCACATAAAAAGGCCCAGCGAAGGAAACGAGCTGATCACATGGATTTAGGTTTAGAAATCCATTGTTGCTGCAGTGGAGCACATAAAATAAGAGATGGAAAATATTTTCTTTTTTTTATTTGCACAACTTTCCTTTTTGTAAGTGATGTACGTTCCTTGTACGAAGTCAAAGTCTGCTGGGAATGAGATTCTCTGTTATTTTAGGTGATTGGCATACTTTCACTACATGGGATTAGTCTGACTGTTTAGAGGAGGGGTGTCAAACATATGGACCGCGGGCCAAAACCAGTCCACTAGGAGGGTTCAGTCCGGCCCACTTGATGAATTTTGAAAACACAAAATGCACAAACACTTCATGTTAATGATGATTTGTCCAATTTCATTTCCTTACATATGACTATTTTCTAATGTACTTGTACTTAGGAAAAAAAAGGACAGGAAACGTAGACTTATTGTTATTTATAGGTGGACAGGAAACGTTGACTTATTGTTATTTATAGGTAATTATGTTGTGATTGTAGTGGTCCAGCCCACTTGGCATCTGATCATCTGTGAAATTCAACATCATGAAATTTGTTTCAATGTAAACAAGAACAAAAAAACCCCATCATTTCCAGCCCAGTGATTAGATGTTGAACAGCAGCTTAAAAAAGAACGGACAAGAATCAAATATTTTTTTCCCTTGGCTCGTCCACTTCTGTTCAACATTCCTGGAGCTCCACGGAGATTTCATAAAACAAAAAGAGGTGATAACAATGTACTTTTATGAGTACATACTTCATCCCATTGGACCCCCAGTACGTGGTCCTCCTCAGTGGGAGAGGAGCAGAATCAAGCATTCACTCTGACGTCCTGACTTCTGCTTCTGCTGAAATGTAACTGAAAAAAACCCCCCATCCAAACAGTTGTTGGTAAACAAAGTGTACTGTGTCATAAAAAACAACAAAAATTGCTAAAAAGAAATTGTGAAATAGAGACGCGAAACGAGCCAAGTATTTGTTCAAAGGTCGGCCAAAATGTCAATCTCTTAACAAACCACGTCCAGTGTTGTGCAACGTGAACCGTACTGCAGGACGTTTTTCCAAGTGACCTGTTCTGACATATGGAAGGACTGTTTATTTTTAGTTGACTCCGATAGTCAGGTGTTTTACTACGATAAGCGAGGCTACGCAATACTTGTACAGTTTCCAGGACTCCGGGCGACAGACGTGCCATAAGAACAGAGCTGCTCCAACTTATCCAATCAGACGACGTCAAACCAAAGCCCACGTTTCCGTTATACGTCTTCTTGTCAGTTTTATGACAGACGATGCTCGCTAATGGCCGCACAGTGCAACTGCAGTTGTGACGTGAATCAAAACAGGCAGGTGAAGGTCAAATGTAAAGGTTAGAAAAATGATGTGGCTTCCAGGAATACTTGTAAAAATAAACTATGACTCTGCAGTGTTGAAATATTGGATTGTGATTTGGTTTATTATGGAAAACACAGTTGTTTTTTTTTGTATTATTGGAAAAATCTTCCTTTTCTGATCTGGATGTGCATACTGTATCAAAATAATAATAATTTAAAAAATGTTACCTAGAAACTTCTTCCAGGTCCCATGGTACAAAAATGACAAATTCGTGGCCTGCCTGCAGTCCGGATTTATCTACTGTTCAGGACGTGACCTTGCAGTAACCTTGACTGATCACTAGTTGTGCTCTACCTATTGAGTTAAGGCTGCGGTGAGTTACCAGGTACTGTTAGGGTTTTTATTGCACTTTTAAAACGTCTGCTCCAATCCTCCACCTGGACAGATGTGTTGGACATACAGCAGAGCCGCAGCTCAGTCCTGAGACGTTAACGGTAACAAAGCTGTGCCTCGACTTCCACATATATTAATAATAATAATAATCCCTGTGGAAAATGTTTGGTTAACGTCTCTGCTTTAGCGTGTTTCACGAGTTTGTTCCGTTAATGACGAGCGTCGACGAGGACTTTCACTGTTCACACTAATAAACAGCACTAAATTAAAAAAAAAAAAAAAAAAACAACCTTAGTCCACTGAGACGGGACATTGTCCTCTATGGGGGGGACAAGGGGAAAACAAGACAGCGGTCCTACCAACCACAGTC